TGAAATAAATGTTAACTAGTCAATCATACCCTTCAAAAGCAAAACTGGGATTTTTGTCATCAGCGTCAAGATGAGATAAATCAGGCTGAGAGACTGTAAATCTCTAAGTTTCAAAGAAAGACACGACATAGATGAAAATTTCATGGCCAGATATTAACTGTGGTAGACTGCTGAAGGATTAATGTGAAACAAAATACTGTAAATGAAAGTGTTCCTTGAACTGAAATCATTGGCTTCCCTAATTATCTATCTAGCTACCTGTACGTACTTTTCCATACAGTTTATTTTCACACATTACATACTTCCTTCAGGAATACACGCATTTGATCCTGGATCATTTAGCAAAGCAGACACTGTCCTTTAAGCTTAACACTAAGTGCACACTTAAGTGTTCAGCTGGATCAGATTGCAGAGTACTGTGCAAGGCTGAGCCTTTCACAGGGCCACCTGTGGGATTTTCCTCCTCTTTGAACAAAGGCTGCGATGACAGTCTGTACACACACTGTCTGACCTAGGATCAGCAGCACTTTATGTGCAGACACCCACATAAAGATTTTCTTTACAGAACTGATTTTAAAATGGAAATGTCTCACTCTCCCCCAGCTCTACTGCTAGACAGTGTTTACCCGATGATCCACAGGAGCTTGTTCTCAACGGGAGCCTGTACACAACTTATTTGTGGGTTAGTGGGCTGGAAATCACACATTTAGAATATTTTCTGGAGGATGTCATCATAATTCCTGCGCTTAAAAGTGTTTAACATTGCATATTCATTACATACTTGAGAAGATATGAATTATCACAGAGTGGACTGAGACTTGCTAATAAAATAATAACAAATACTTAATGCACAAAAATATCTATACAAAAATAAAAAACAAACCTCTTTTGCCTAAACTGAGATGCAATTAACACACTTCTAAAAAGCTATAGGTTTAAAGCAGCTTTCCAAGATTTACATTTTAGTCATTCAAATACTTTCTATGGATTACAGTCCATTAAAACACAATATTCTGAAGTCTTTGTGCTACCTCAGTGCAGAAGAACTATTTAAAAGAGCTTTTTTAAAAAATAGTGTGGTCAGAATGCTTTAAGAAATATCACTTTATGAAATATAATAAATTATCTTTGTATCAGTATCATGTGGAAGAGACATGCTATATACTTTGAACGGTGGTTCTGAGATGTACTGAGGTTTGCATAATGCCAACCAACATGCTGTATTACTTCTTAAAGGCTTGTGAATAAGAATTTTACTACAGTCACAACATATATATTGGACTCTTCTAGTAAATTGATCACTCAAATAAAAAGAAAGGAATGTTTTTGATCTGCAAAGAAGATGGGCAAAAAGAAAGCCTGCTCATCTTAACTCTGCGTTAGGGAAAAAATGAACTTTGATCTATCATATTGCAGAGCTGCTTGTATTTCAGTGGCAATTTATCAATTCTGTAATAGTCAAAGCGTCCAAGAAGTAAAAGCTTCTTATTCTTCCTAATCTAATAGCTATTATTTAAAATTTTTATTCTGTATGACTTACTGTTCAGTTCAGAAGCAAGAAAGCAACATTATTTCTCAAGAATTCTCTTTTTTACAAGTACTGATGAAATGGAGGTCAGCACTACATGCTTTGTTCATCCTGGTGTAAAAACAATGCAGAATCCCACCTTCATACAGTTCTACATCTCTTATCTGACCTCACAGGCAGTGCCACATGTCAGCAGCAGGACTGCCTTTGGGCCAGGATTCAGCAGCACCGCCCTTCAGGGAACACTTTCTGTGTGTGCTCTGCAGCAGGTCCCATCACCCTGTCCACCAGCACAGGCCTGGGTGACTTCCATCCTGTGGGGAGCAATTAGGAAGCCTCCTCCCTGCTCCAGCCACCATGAGTGCTGCAATTTGTCTTTACAGGGGAGAGAAAAGGGCTCTTTGCTTTGCCCCACTGCACAGTATGGGTGGAAGGATATGTCCCAAGGTGACAAACCCTGCTCCATGGCAAGTCCCAATTTTCTTAGCTGAGGTGTGCTCTGCATTCCTAAGACACTGGAGATGAGAGGATATTCACATCTTGTGGGCCTCTCACAGAAGTGGATCTGAAATAAGGTTGAGTGGCTTGCTTTAAAACATTTGCTCTGTAAGTCCAAAGAAAGGAGCATTCAAGAGTGCAGATCTAAACTTGCATGTTGTTGTTGCTAAACATGAAACCTGAAGGTCAGAATTCCCACAGTCAACCACTCCTACTCAAAAATACATCAATGTATTTGCTAAATGGAAACTATACTCACATCACATCTTATCCTAATGTCACAAAACCCATAAAATTACAAATCAGTTTTAAAGGAAAATACATGACAGCAAAATATAAGTACACAAAAACTACATTAAATATCAGTCTTCATTTGTCCTTACCACTTCAACTTACCTCTCAGTTCAAAACTACTCACTGCAGTGCACAGCTTGAGATAGTCTAAGATCCATTTTAGAGTGGACTGAAATATAAATGACAGTTCGCACTACACATGAACATAGACAACTGTATAAAATATTTAAATAAAGACAGAAAAGAACAGAGGAAACCAACAGAGCCTTTGGCAGACCCAGCCTTTGGGAATTTACCAGCTTGAGATTCATTGAAAATTTCATCTTTAATGTTATTTTTAGTTCAATATTTTGTAGCACTCAGAAGTAAATCTTTGTGTGCTGTCTCTTCCTGCTTGTGCCGCTTCCTTTTCTGATCTTTTCTTTTTTTAAAGAAACTTAATATATTTTCAATACAATTGATTTGTGACATGTTTTGTGATACTTGTTAGTTAACTGTTTCTTCGTACAATTCAGTGCAAACCATTACGCTGCTGTTTCTTTTTATCTGCTGAATACTGATTGTCATAATTGAAAACAAACAGTACCCCCAATAGTCTTTGTTCCACCATACCTTGCCTTGCATTAAATTCTTACATTAATTTTGATTGTTGGGTTACAATCAATTTTTTATTTTTATATTTTTTTAGCTTCCTGTCACTGCTCCAAATACTGCTTTTTCAGAGCAGTTGTGATTTTATCCTCCGGTCTGCTCTTTGTTTCTGCTGTAAAGCAACAGTGATATAAAATAGAACTGGGAGAGACAGAGAGGAGACGGGGTAACGTCCACCTGCAGAGAGGGAAAGCAAGGCTCTGCCTGGCATCGCCTCTCCTGCACCCCCTGCCCAGGCTGAAGTACGGCAGGAGGGGAAAAGAGCTGGTCCTGTGCTACTTGTCCCATGTTGTGCCACACAATCCAATACAGCTATTGGCCCCTTCTCTGCCAGGACAGACACCAGTGAGGCCAACAAGTGGACAGTGTAGGCATATGAGCAGATTGTTGTGGATCAAAGCAAGCCACAGAGAAGCTACAAGACAGTAGCCCCACTGCAAGCATTCATATGCTTTCAGCCAAAAGCAAATGCAAGATAACTGACATGCCAGTGGAAGAGAAACAAGAATATTTCTATCAGGTACTGGGGAGTAGGCCTGTGAATGTGGCAATTACCAAAGTTTCTGAGAACTAGGTTACCCTACAGCATGCTGCTCTACATTCACACTCAGGTGTCTTGTTCAAACCCGAGTCCTATTCTGTCTTTTGTTATTTAACTTGCCAGACCATTCCTCTTCCTCCCATTACTGTAATTATAATTTCACAGTTGTGCCATTGGTCATGACATTAGATTTAGACTATTCCATACCCTGTGGAACTGACAATAGCTCTGTCATGTTACATGAGGAGGGGACGATACAGGAGATGCTTATCTGCATAGTATAGTACGAACACCATAAAACTACTTTTACTGTAGTTAATTCCAATTTCATCAGCCTATGACCCACAGTTGAGGACTATGCTGAATTTTTCCTTGTTCACAAAAATAATCACAAGAGGACCTTGCCTGTTCATAAAGCTTAAAAAATGCAAGAGAGGTTTTTAATTTCAAAAACCTTATTTCTGACATACTGACATACTAAGCAATTATTCAATGGCTCTCACAACGCAAGGACTAGGAGCCCCAGTTAAATGATCAGGCATCAGTCTTATACAAACAAAAGAAGCACTTCATCCCCACAGTGCATAATGAAATTATGGAGCTCATGGCCATAAGATGGTGTGGAGGTCAAAAGTGTAAATGGACCATAAAAGGGATTACATGAAATCATGCAAAGTAAAATCCATCACTAGCTACTAAACACGATGATCAAGAATAGCCTCCAATCAAAGTGCCTGAGATACAGCTCCTGAGAAGCAGAACCTCACAGGGGGAGAAGGATTGTTCTATGCTAGCAATACATAAGAGCTCATATTCTTTTTCCCTAGCCATTATTTCCTGCTCACTCCCAGAAGTCACTGGTCTGTGTGGATAGTTTCCCTGACTCAGGATGGCAGCTATTGTAATGTACTAAAATCTTCACAAATTTTAACTCATTTTATTTGGCATGTTTTAGAGATTTTTCCACGATAAATTAAACACAAGTATATTAAGAAAAAAAAAAAAAAGAAAAAAAAAAAGGAAACAACGTAAAGAGCCATAAAGAAGGCAAAAAGAAACTGAGGTACCCAGAAAAGATGGAGATTCAGAGTTTATGCTTTGCCACATGGCTGTGTTTCAGGATCTCACTCTGTGCTAACAGTTGAGAACTGTGTTTCAAGTATGCAGTGCTGGAACCACCGCTCGTCATCGCTTTCATTGCACTGAATCATTTGGGCCTCTCCCCGCATGAGTCAGGTTTTGAAAGCTGAGCCTCCTCCATCCCGCAGGATTTGTTCACCTGTCCCATTAGCCCAGTTTCACTATTTGTCTAATGACAACCACAAGTGACGACCTGACTCAAGTCATGTCAATATTCTGCCAAAAACTACCATTTTGCCCTCTCAGCCACCTCCTCCCACCCACCCATAGGTTATGGAACTGTGGGATGGTTGCCAGAGAAATGCAATAAAAAGTAGGAAATGACATACAAAAATAAAACTCACTTACCTAAAAGCCCTGTGCATCAGATCTCTTTGTGTTGCTTCTTCACCCCCACTCCTTTTCTTCCAACACTTGTTTCACCACTCTTCATTTCCTCTTCCTTTGCTGCCCATTTTCTTCACATGTTCTAACTCCTGGTCTATTTTCTCTTTTTATGTACTAGTTTTTTGTTTTGATTTTTTTGTTTTGTTTTGTTTCCATTTGGCTGAAAATGAATAAATTAATGCTTTCATAATTTTTTCTTGTTTTTGAGACAGTAGAGCATCATGGTATCACTTCACCATTTGTTTCCTGTTTCCACCTTCTTTACTACACATTTTGTTGCTGTTTTTTTATCCTTTTTCTGGTTTTCCTCCATGGCAATCAATCCCTCTGGGCAACAATTCATTCTCAGTGCCTTCATCCCACCTTCTCCCTGCAGAGCTCCTGTTACATCCTTGCAACAGTCCTGTCGGAAGCGATCTGAATTTCCAGATTAATTTGTTGTGCTTTGGAAGTCTTGACAGGGTGTAAGTATTACACTAAACACGCAGTACTGAGCATTTCTGATGGAAGCTTTCTGGATTGAGGGGCATGACTTCATGGAGAAGCAGAGATGTGAAATGGAGCGAAGCAGAGCACTGTGCCAGTGTGGGGTGGAACATTCTCTCTTGCTTAACTCTCTCTAAGCCACTTATTCCACTGTTATTTGGCTTTCCAAATGTCAGAGGTCATTGCCGCCTGAATGTTCTTCCAGGATCCATCCCTGAAATGTGGATATCCCTCCTGCCAAGAGAACACAATATTAGGAACAGTGCTCTGTTTTAGCTTACAGTTGCTCATATTTTCCAGATATTTAAAACCACTTAGAAGAAACGTCAGTTGATTGAAGCTGCTGAGTGGGCTGCTCATTGCTTCATCCCGTGGCCAGGCTGTGCTTGCTGCTGGGGGGGTGCAAGGCTGGCCCTGCAGCTCACAGGGTCGGGTCTATACACCCAGTACACACACGTTTGTCAAGGTCTAAATATACTGTAAACCAGACAACGTGTTTAAAATTCAACCCTATGCTGCTTCATCACTATTAGTCACAAGTATACTCAATGCTTAGAGGGAAAACAGTGTTTCAGGCTTGTAAAGTTAGTGAAAAAAATGGTAACAGCAGTGGCTTTAGCATGTATTTTCTATGCTAAAAATTGAAAGAATGAGAGATTAGGTAGTAACATCCAGAGGGTGGAAGGGAACCTGACTAACTGAGGATTTTCTGCTGTTAACTTTATCCTGGAAACAATATTTTTGTGTTTATGTTCCATAACTTTGTTAACAGCACGATAACCCAAAACAGTATCGTTTGCACAGCACTTTTTTAATGCACAAGCCACCATGCATCAAATACCATGCATACTGCAAGCAACAAAAAGTATTCCCATTTTGCATCTTCTTTCCATTTATATTAATTACCAGTTTATCTGTGGAAGAATTGTGCAGTATGGGTTTTTCTTGCTTGTTCATAATAGGTTGTTCATTAAAGAAAATACTAGGAAATTATCTTCTGTGTCAGTGGATACAGAATCCCATCTGGGAGGTGAAAAAAATGAAGAGAACTCAGACTGCAAAAATAAATGATTAAAACCACGAAATGAGTTGTACTTACGGAAACTAAATACTTCAAAAATCCCAGGTGTATCAGGTAGGCTGTAACAAGTGGCACAACATACAGGCAATGCACTCACACCACTGCTCCCTCCCGGGGCCTTCAGTGACTCTGTCACCATATCCCCATGTTCTCATGTCTGGTTGCCCATCCTGGGCTGGCTGCTGCCCTCGGCCTTGGCACACCGGCACCGCATGGATGCTCTCTGCGATTTCCTCCTGCAGCTGTCTGCTTCCTGGCAGCTCTCCATTCTGTTCTGAGCTTTATTCCGGGGTGCTTTTTAACCAACTCTTTAGCACAGGGCAGTTGCCATATAACATCCTCCTCCCTGGAGCTAAAACCAACAGGTAGCTCACAAACTCCTCCTGAAACGTGGGGTTCCCTGCTCTGACCTCATCTGGGGTAACCTGAATTTCAGTGCTTGTCTTGGTGGGGTCGGGTGGATGAGCTCAGTAAGGAGGGAGATGCCCACGCTGGCGGATAAGGAAAACATACAATATACTGATAAATATATTAAGATAAATATGGCCATATGCCAGTTTTTCCCCCTCATAAATAAGGCTTTTGTTTACCAAATGTTCAGTTTTGGTTATGTCACTATAAAAATCAAGCAGCTGGTAATTCAGGCTTGATTAGCAGGTCTCCAGTTTTGATTAGTAAATTACTGTAGTAATCAAGGTTAATTCTCATTTCAGAGCTATGCCACAGATTTTATCTCTTCCAGAGAACTGGATTTACCACTCTGGAAAAGGAATATTTTAATAAATGTGACAAAAAACATCCAGGAATAGAAAGCAAAAGCATTTCCAACAGTTTTTAGAATATAGGGAAGCAGAGCAGCAGTGCCATTCTAACACGAAATGGTTAATGTCCTAGGAATAAAACTCCAAGATGCAATTTTGCAGATGATTTCCACATAATATATGCAGAGATTGCATTGCTAATTCCTTTTACCTTGTTTTTCTGTTTCTGTCTTTAAAAATTGCTTTCTTTGGATCTTCATCTTTCATTTTAAGAGAAAAAAAAAAAAAAAAAAGTGTACAGAGAGGCTTAAAAAGAAGCCCAAGAGAGCATTATTAGTAGAAAGATAAACAGTAGAATGGATTCTAACTGAGCCAGAAAACATCATTGTAGAATTTACATAAAATTTAGTTTTCAACCAAACATATTGCACATCCAGTTTCAGCTCATCTCATAATGAATATTCAAACTTTCAAATGACCCACATGTCCCATAAGTGATCAAGAGTCCCCAAAAGCCATCATTGTCATAGAAGAGGTACAGTATTAAAAAACAATAAGAATTCATTGGGGATCTTCCTTTTCTACGAAACTTTTACTGAATCTTTAGTCTGCAAATCTTCTGATTATTTGAGCCGTACAAGTCTGTCAGGGATTTGGGTACCACAGGATAACATGTTTTTATATGGATTTTAATTGGAATAACACTATTGTTTTCTAGTCACAATTCTGGGTCTGATTCGGTGTTTCTCTTTCACATCACTTTTGTAATAATTAGGCACTCAATTATCTAAAATAAATGTGAAGTCTAGCTTTATCTGCTACACGCTGCAGACATTTCTCAGATAGGAAAGCACGGGCAATTTTTAGATATACTACAGTATTCCACTCAAAATATTTAGATAACTCTTTTTCCTAATAACACTGAAAGAACTGAGGACCCAAAACATATGAGAAGAGAGGCACAATAAAAGAAGACTTTGACGTAAAGTTATACATTTCCAAAGTCTCTTGAGGAAAAAAAGATTTTCTCTAAACAAACATGCTATGTCTTTTTGAAAAAGGCTGAGAAGGAACGTGCAGTTTACTTCTGCTTCATTACGTATCATAGCATATATACCACATACATATTTGGTTATTCTTGTGGAACATTAAGACCAGGATCACCTGTGCTTCTAATTCAGCACTTTGGTTCTGATGATGACAAACAGAAAATGCTTCAGGAGATTTCTTCCAAGTGTTTCAAAGTTGATAGCTGTCATGCGGGTTAAGGCAAAGAGATTCTTTTTCTTCCTGTGTTTTAATGTGTACGACATAGACCTGAATATTTAACATTCAGCCCTACCTGCATGGCTCATTTACAGACCAGCACCTAATGACATAAACACTGGCAAAAGTAGAAAGCAACCTGAGCTGTGTTTATTTGGGATTTATCCTCAGCTAAAATAATAATTATTTGTGTAGAAAGTAAGCAGATACAGACGGGATTTACTGAGGATGTTGGGGACCTGCCTCACACAGCAACAATTTAGAAAGTCCCACACTTTGTGGGAGAAGAGGAAAAAAACATACTTACATCAGAAAGTCTATAAAGCATCGTAATTCCAGGAAAAGTGTGTGTGCTTTTCTTCTGGTCTGTTGCACACTGCAGGACAAATTTCACCTGGGGAAGGAAGGGGTGGAAGGGGTGTAGCAATTCCAACCAGGTCTTTGCATGAACAGGGAACTTTTGCAGATTTATGGCTCATCTCCAGCTGTACAATGGCTCCTCGGATCTGGCAGATTTTACTCTTCACATTTCGCATGGTTGGGCTTTTTGTTGTTTGTTTGTTTGTTTTGGCTTTCCTTTTCTTTGCAGCTCTTCCAAGTTACAGGAAGGAAGCACACAGCTGTCGTTCCTCAAGGAACTGCAGAGGAACAGTGGCCTCTATGAGCATGAGCACCTCTCCCACCACCAGTCAGAATGCAGACATGCTCCAATAGCTTGAGATTCTTCCTGAGCTGCATTCCTGGCCAAACCCATTTCTTCCCTGAGACTCTGGTGAATTTGAGTGAGCAGCTTAGGAATATGGCTGCACTACAGATAAAGCTGTGTTGGAGGTCAGTAACAAAATTCTGAATAAAATTCAAAACTGTAGCCTCGAGAAGATTGCTCTACCTTACTCTATTGAGAGACAAAAGCTCAGAACAGGAGGCTGCAGTGCCTTGAGGCCTCCCGGGCTTGCACAGGGCAGCATGCAACTGGCTATTCACCACCCTTCTGCCAACCTCCAAATGATCAACATGTCCAGAGAGCCACTGCAATCCTGTTATCCCTGGCAGAGCAATGGTTTCTAAAAAGCTGCCTGGCCTTGTGTAGACAAGAGAAGTCATAAGGTTTCTGGAAAGGTAGTTAATTTATCTGCAGGTAGGATGGCATCACTGAATGTGATCGATTCTATTTAAGGTGATTAACAACGTGTTATGTTGCTTGGTTTGAATAAAGACTATAGGCCAACTTCTGCCCTGGCTCAACTCCCACTGAAGTCAATTGTTTAGCCTGAAAAATGGATTACAGGATGTGGCTATAATTTATGCATAGGAAAAAGAAAAAAGGTAGAAGATTTTGCTTTAGAAACAATAATTCTTATTTATGTGTACTGCAGCAGTGCCTCAGACCCAAGATTCTTTTGTGGGATGGTATCCAAATACCTAGAAAATACAGGCATGGCCCCTACCCTAAAGAGTCTTTAATCTAAGCAAGAGAC